AAAAAAAAAAAAAAATTAGGATATACAAGAACCCACCAGATATACCATATTTCAGTACCCTTAACTAAGATGAAAAACATCAAACACATAGATTCCAATAAAGAACTCTTAAGAAATTTCAAACGAGAGGCATATTATTACAGCACAGAGATCAGCCATTAGCCCATCCCAACACCAAAAAAAATACACACAACGAACACATGAATCCAGAAATCACTCAACCTCTTGAGAAGCGAAGCAGATTTAGCCCAGAAAAACAGTATTGCGACCAGCAACAATAAAACGTTGGCAATGAAGGATAGCCAATTGTATCCAGCGATTTCGAATAGGATCCAAAGGGCAGTTGAACCCACAAGGAAAGTGACGCTACAATGCCATTTTCTCCACAATAACACATCAGCAACTGCATAACAGCATAATCAAGATAAAACTAGAAAAACAAAACAAATAATTATCCTTGATGCGTAGTTAACATAAGAACTAAAAGAAAAGCCCTAAATGATTAGGGAAATGCAGGAAAATGATCGTTCCTGGAATAAAGCAAAATAGTTCATAAACCTTTGCATATGCAAATCAAAATCTTACAATTGAATGTAAGTTATACCTGAACCACCGCCTAAAGCAAGATGAACAGATACGCGACGATGCTCTCCCATGGCAATTAGGTATTTCAGATATCAAATTGCCTAAAAGATGATCAACACTTAGAATATAGACAATCAAGGGCGGGAGAATTGAATTTGGCAAATGAACAAAATTTCAAAATGCTGACTCCCAAACTAGATGTGAATGCGATTTCCCCATCCCTTCCATAAAGTTACAAGTATATATTATTTTGGTTATCCAATCCCGTCGTCCAGGAAAGTAACGACGCCTTAGTGTATAATGGGTCAAAAAGGAATTTCAATTTAAGCCCATTTATGGATCGAAGCTTAAAAGCCGTAAAGCTCAGCTATATCATGTGTGTGACTGCTCTCTCTTTCTCCCCGTCTAAACCCTATGTCCCTATCTTGGTTATATATGAATTTGTAATTTCACGAAGTGTTCTTAACTTCTTATTTTTTGTTTATGTACAAGAACACAAGCGCAGTAAAGAAACAAGATTCAAGCTATATGATACCCGACGTTTTCCTTTAAGCTTAAATTTGCATCTGCTGGTGTTTCTAATTTGTTTCAGCTACCTGAAATCATGATGTGGATTATTGTGAATTGTTTTTATGTTCGTGTTGAAGCTTGAATGGTTGAAAATCACTGCATATACTTGGCTATAATGATTATAGATAATCACATGCATGTAAGAACTATACTACTACCACATGTTTATACAGAATAAACCATAGCATAGAACCCCCACCTTTAAACAAAACTTACTGACTGGCTGAAATGAGTTAAAGCACGTGCGTCTGATTGCGGGCTCGACTCCTCTTAATCTACAGTTTTAAATAATTTTCCTTATTAACAAAAGTGTTGATAAACAAGCAAGGGCAGACACGGACAAGTAAAAGGTCAAGCAAGGACAATCAAGCAAGGCAATTAAGACAATTAAAAGCAAATAAAGCACAAAAATTTTTCTCTCTACTGACTGAACTAAGCTCGACTGGAAATCTGAAATTCTAACTTAGGCTCGAAATGTCCTAATTTTTCTAGACCGGCCCGAACCTGTCGGTCCGTGCTCCGTCAGACCCGGTTCGCTTGCCAAACCACTTAGGTCGACCCGAACACAGGTTCGCTAAAAAGCACAACACAAAATGCAAACAACCAAAGCCACAAAATTAATCGACAAATAATACACAAAGTCACACACATATATACTTCTTCTCTTCTAATCTCAAGGCCTGCTCTTATAACTAATCTCAACTGAAAAGAGATGCCAATAGCCTGCGCTAGCGAGAATATACAAGGCAAAAATAGTCCCTCCATCATGCTCTTGAATTTCCAAAATTTTCAAAAAATTGAGCAGGTTATAAGAGAACCTTGACTAAAACTACAAAGACACTTTAACTCACATGATTCAGCATAAAAGCACATAATTCTGCTCTTCGTTTCTCATACTCAATGCATGCTTACAAATCAATTAAAGTCGAACTTTAGCACCTTAAACACTTTCAGCATCTAAATCTAAATTGAACTAAAGAGGTTCAGCAAATACGAAGCAAGACAGAGCAAAAAGGCCTCCAAACTCAACATATAATACTTCCCTTTTTTATCTAACATTAAGGTAAACATAAGGGACCCTTATGCACTGAAACTGAACTTATACTCAGCATAAAATAAGTCACATTTCAGCATAAATTAGCATATATCATCGCCCCCGAGGTCTCTCAATCAACAAGGCAAAACGGCATATAACACACCCCCTTTTTCTTCAAATTCGAGCATGCTAATCAACACATTTGGGGTTGAACTTAAACACCCTAACAATCCCTAAACAGCAAGTAGAAGGCATAAAACGGCACAAACCACATGCCCTTCTTCTCCATGATTTTTACTAAACTTAAAGCATGCTTTTCTCACGTTTTAAATCTGAAACAGACACCCAAGAACACGACCTATCTCAGCCAAAAATTAAGGTAATAAGGTCAGCCCGAATACCTTCTTCGGGACCTAAGAAACGGTCTCGGAGGTTGGCTAGCTCTCGGCTGTGGGTGAATCCTCGGGTGGACAAAACCCGGGCCCGAACGCGCTGGCGGTTCTCGGTTTGGTTACTTCACCGGTGCTCGGCTGCTGAACGCCTCTCGCCCGACGGTTCTCAGCCTCGCTTTCGATCGCTCGAATAAACACTTAGGCACATAATCAAATAATTATACATACATAATTAAATAATAACTTAGGCACATAATCAAATAATCATTTAGGTACATAAAAAAAACAAAAATTAAATTAAAATTGGTCACGAAGTACACCCTGGCACATTAAAAAAATTTAAGCATTAGGTAAAACTATAGATGATAAATGGTTCTTGGCTCGATGGACACCCGTTTAGCCCGGAAAAAAAGGGTTAGGTCCTTTTATTAGTAGCCCATTTAAATCAGGGCTTTTTAGGTTCGAACCGTTTAGCCCGAAGTCCGCTAGGGTTGGCCCGTTTAACTAGGGTTGAGCGGTGTAAATGTTTGCATCAAGTAAGTAATATGCTCTTAAATTACGTGTAAATTACAATTTTGGTATTCCACTTCACATGTAAGTATGAGTTGTAATGAATTATTATGATTTTGAAAGATAATTATTAATAATATTATTATTGTACTTCTTACGAAAATATTTATGTCAATCAGAACGACTAACAAGAAACACATAAAACATAGTGATAGACGAGAAATACTAAATAGTCGTTAAAAATAAATTTTAACTAGCCGTTTTTATTTTTATTTTTATAAATTTTTACTCTTTTTATTTATTATTATTATTATTATTATTATTATTATTATTATTATTATTATTATTATTATTATTATTGCCGCATAGCCCGTTTAGCCCGAAACCCGCTAGGGTTAGGGTTAGGTCATTTTTTTGGTAGCCCGTTTAAATCTGGGTTTTTTAGGTCCGGATCATTTAACTCGAATCCCGCTAGGGCTAGCCTGAAACCGCTAGGACTAGCCCGTTTAACATCTCTAGGTAAAACAATTAGACACTTAGGGGCTGATTGTATACGGATTAATTTGCTGAAAGTGAAATAATTGAAGAATATCAGTTAATTGGGCTTGTGTACCAAAATATTTGAGCCTATTCAAACTCATTGCCAGGCCCACAAATCCAGCTACTGCCCCCCACATTAAAACTTATTTGTATTATTAAATTATGTATTACCAACCATTCTGACAAAAAGTGAAATAGCACGTCATTTCGAGTTTGAACACTCCAAGAAGCCATCCATCTCCTTCAATAAAATGGGTTCTTCTGTGAACGAAAAAACAATGAACTCCTCCCCAGATCCGTCTCTCCGCAACTCCATCCCTCCTGTTCTGTCGTTGGAGGACCCGCTGGAGAGGACCGACCCGCACACCGAAAGCACCGGCAGTGTGTCGGTGAATTCTCCGTTAAAAAAAACGAAACGAAGAAGAAAGGTTTGTTGGTTTCAATTTTTGAAATTTCTGTACATTTTTTGTTCTTAAAACTGATTTCAAGTGCATTGAACTACCCGAAAATGTAGACGAGGGATTCTGATTTGGTGTGCTTATATAAATTGAAATTCATAATTTCTGTTCTTAGGGATTGCATATTTATTGCGAATTGTGTATCTTGTCTGGTTATTATTGTTGCTAATAAAAATTCACATTTGGTGTGCTTATATAATTTACAATTCACCTGTTATTATTGTTGCTAAACAAATTTGTTGTTGGAACCTTTCATTAATGCTTCTCCACTGTCGGGCCTGCTGAGATGATGATTCTTTCGTATTGATTGAATTATGTGCTTAAAGGCCCGCCATTGGTGTCTCGTGCAAGTCGATTTGCTTCCTGTTTGTTTCCATGTTGTTGTGAGTAGATGTTTTCTATTATCTCGGAGCTGTGTATGATGAAACATTGTAGATGTCGACGTCGGCTGAAGACGTGTTAACGCAACCTAAAGAAGGAGAAGCAAAGTGGCCTCCGGAGAATGAGGCCCGGTTAATATCGTTGATGTTGGACGAAGTCATCTTGGGGAAGTGCATCAACCAGAAGTTCAAAACAAGCAATTGGATGGATATTCAAAAAGCATTGAACAAAGCGTGTGGTCCAGAACACCATTACGAGATAACACAAATCACGAGCAAGCATGATCGGTTGAAAGTGAAGTGGCGTCGGTTCCACAATATGCTGCATAATACAACTGGGTTCGGCTGGAATTCGGAGACTGGGAAGCTCACGGGTGGTGACGAAGTTTGGAGCCGGTGGTTCGCGGTTAGTTCATTTGTTCCATCTGTTTCCATTTTTTTTTTTTTTTTTGTGACTAGTTGTACTTTCACCTTAAGTTGAAACTGAGGTTATTCTGGATTTGGTTTCCTTAGAAATATTTGCATAAATTGATACTGTGGTTATTTGCAATAAAAAAAAATAAATAAATAAATAAATCCTGGTGCCTTTTAGAAATATTTTTGGTTTCCTTTGTCTTTGTTACATTTGATTAAAAAAAAATGGAGCTGTTTGCATTTGTATCCTGATGCCTTACAAAAAAATTTTTGGGGGCCTTTCTTTGTTTACCTTTGATTAAAAAATATGGGTCTACGGTTTTCCATAAACAGGTACGTCCAAAGGACAAAGAGATGAAGAGGATGGCTTGCGTGCACTACCGTGAGTTGACCACAATTTTTATCGGGAACACGGCAACTGGTAGCGGTGCAAGGGCATCTACACAGCCACCAGAAGGAACAAGCAGGCGTCGTAGAACTAACACCGCGGTGACGGCCAACTTCTTGTTTCCCGACGAGTTAAGTGATGAGCCAATGAACACCCCGGACAGTGACAGGTGCACTCGTCGCCGTCAAGGGTCCACTTCCAAATTCGACAATGCCATGAATTCTATTACTGAAGCAAGCCGCACAATCCAGCAAAACGCGCGTCCACCAGTTGATCAAATAAGCCTCCAACATGCTGTAAAGGTGCTGGAGTCGTTGCCTGGTGTTCCTGTGCCGGTTCGAAAGGTTGCTTGGAGGAAGTTTCGTGACCCGTGTAGCCTTTACACATTTCTTGGAATGGATCTGGAAGAAAACCGGCGTGCCCTTCTAGATATGTGGATGGATGAGGAAGGCAATTAGGGCTAATGTTAACGCCCTGCAAACTACTGCATAATTTCAGTGGAACTACTAATTGGAATCTTGTTGAATTTGTGTGATTTTTTTTCTTTCTTTTTTATATGCATTTGTGTTGACATTGATTATGTTTCTACATCATATTATCTGACTTGTTATTTAAGTTTGGTCATTGATGTTGTGTTTTTATCATTTTCAAAATAATTTATATTCAAAAGTAGTTCCCATAAATTATCCATTTGTAGGATGTCGCACATTGATGAAGATGATACCGGTGGACAATTAAACGACAACATGGATGAAGATGTCAACGCTGTTGTTCAACCGTCTCATTTATCTCGTTTGCAACAATATGCTAATATGCTGGAGTTTCAACGCCAACAACTTATGCATGTTCATGAAGCACTTCAGTTTAATCCACCTATGACACGAATCCGGTATAGGCATTCCACGTACAACGGGGAGGACTGGATTAGTGAACTCCTCATGGGGCACGATGGAAGATTCTACGATGCAATGGGTATGAACAAGAAGGTTTTCAAATTGCTTTGCAAAGAAATAAAACAAACGGGTTGTCATGGTGATGCAATACAACAAAAGATCCGCATCCAAGAAAGTGTTGTAATGTTCTTGCATACGATAAAAGGACACCAAAGACATCGACATGCTGCGGAGACCTTTAGACGATCTACAGAGACGATTAGTAATCATGTACATATCATGATCACTGCTCTTCGCACACTGGCTCCCAAATACATACGTCCTCCGGATTTTACTCGTGTTCCTCAATGGATACGAAAGAATCGATATCTATATCCCTACTTTAAGGTAAAACACATTATCATATTGTATTTCATGAATCACCTCAACAATTTATGAAATGTTTTCTCTTACCTCAGGATTGCATCGGTGCCATCAACGGAACCATCATACCGGCTTGGATTCCTGAAGAAGATCATGGAAAATACAGATGCCGAAAAGGTCACTTATCCCAAAACGTTATGGTCGCGTGCGACTTCGATTGCAAGTTCACTTACGTTTTAGCGGGATGGGAAGGCAGTGCAAATGATGCTCGTATTTTTGGTGAAACATTGACAGACCCCACAAATACTTTCCCATGGCCACCAGAGGGTATATTTAAATTTTTCTTCCCCCTTTCGTAAATAATAGAATAAAAAAAATATAAATAGGGAAGTGAAAATAATATTACTACATTGATTCACTAACACAACTACTTTGAATATTAGGAAAATATTATGTGGTCGACTCAGCCTATGCCAATGTCCCCGGATTCCTGTCACCTTACCGTGGTGATAGGTACCATCTCCCGGAGTGGATTCGCTCTAATCAAACACCTAAAAATGCGAGAGAGCTCTGTTCGCAAAATATTTTTACTACCCGCAAGTGTACGGAGTAGCTGCAGAAAGCGGC